CAGACAACAGCATCCTTCAATCCAGTGCTTGAGAACTGACTGATACCCATAAAAATACCCACACTGAAGTAAGCTGAAGTCAATTAACCACAGTCCAAATTACAAGGTTTGGGTAATTAAATACATATTCTGCCTTTTTTATGGAAAAAAAAATATGGATACGCATTAATAATTTTGTTTTAAAGTACTAATCTATACAAATGTTTGGGTACCTTCAAACATCTTTAAGAGGAAAACCATCAGCATGAAAACAACCAAACAGGAATACAATCTTCCCAATAATAGTAAAAGAAGGTTGTTCCCACATCTTCATCTATGGGGAGGAAAAAAAAGAACCAAATAACAAAACCAGACAAACCTACCGTTATCTCCAAAATCCTGACATAGCACACCCATCTTTCCCCGCCTGAGCCTAAAGCCAGCAGCTATGAGCTATTTTCAAATGAAGTGGTGAATACCTTTCAGGACTCATACAGAATATCTTTACATCCAATAGATCTTTTTTCAACACTTAGACTCTTTGCTGACTGCAGCAATGGCAAATATGAACTGGCAACAGGAATTCTCCCTTGGGCAGAGATTGTCTCATTTATTTATGATAAATAGGGGTTTATGATTCATAAAAGCTTAACACAGCAACCAATGGATGACTGAAACCAGATTTATAGAATAATGGAGCAGATGTTCCTGAAAACTACACTAAGGCACATGGAAAATAAGAAGGCGATAGCTATTGTGGCTTCACTAAGGGCCAACTGTGTCTGACAAATTTGGTGGCCTTCTAAAATGGGATTACAGCAGTGGTGGAGGAGGGAATAGAAACCGAAATCATCTACCTGGACCTGTGCAAAGCATTTGGCATGCTCTGCATGAAATCCTGGTCTTTACACTGGAGAGACATGGATTTGACAGAGGGACATGGAACCGGCTGGATGGTCACACTCATGAGCTATGCTTAGGGGCTTGATGTCCCAGTGGAAACCAGTGAGGAGTGGCCTTCCTCAGGGTCAGCATAGGGACCAGCACTGCTGGACATTTTGTCAGTGACATGGGCAGCAGGATCAAGGCACCCTCAGCAAGTTTGCCAATGACACCAAGCTGTGTGGTGCCATCAACTGGAGGGAAGGGATTGCCATCCAGAGGGGCCTGGGCAAGCTTGAGAGGTGGGACTGTGCAAAGGCCAAGTGTGTGATCCCTCATGACAATCCCAGTACCAACACAGGCAGGGCAGAGAATGGTTTGAAAGCAACCCTGAGGAGAAAGACTTGGGACTGTTAGTGGATGAGAAGCCCAATGTGACCCAGCACCCCCAGCTGGTCTGCAGATGGCACAAAACTGAGCAGTGCAGTTGACATAACAGAAGAATGGGATGACACCCAGAGGGACCTGGAGAAGCTTGAGAAGAGGGACCACAAGAACCTAATGAAGTCCAACAAAAACAAGGTGCTACACCTGGGTAAGGGAAATCCCTGAGGTGAGTGCAGACTGGGAGAAGGACTCACTAAGAACAGCCCTGCAGGGAAGGACTTGGGGGTGCTGGTAGATGAAAAGCTGGGCACAGGCTGTTAATGTGCACTCACAGCCCAGAAGGCCAACTGCATCCTGGGCTGTACTCACAGAAGTGTGACCAGCAGGTCAAGGGAGAGGATTCTGCCCCTCTACTCTGCCCTTGTGCGACTCCACCTGGGGTGCTACATCCAGCTCTGGGGCCCTCAGCATAAAAGGAATTCTTAAGACTTCTTGAAGCAAATCCAGAGGAGGGCCACAAAGATACACAGAGAGCTAGACCACCTCTTCAGTAAAGATAGGTGGAGAGAGTTGAGGCTATTCAACCTGAAGAAGAGAAAGCCCTGGGAAAACCTTACATCTTCCAGTACCTGCAGGAGCAGGAGAGAGACTTGTTACAGAGCATGTAGTGATCAGACAAGGGGAAATGGCCTTAAACTGAAAGAAGGTATGTTTACATTAGAAATTGAGAAGAAATTATTTATTGTAAGGGTGGCAAGACACTTGAAAAGATTGCCCAGAGTTCTGTGGATACCCCATCCCTGCAAGTGTCCAAGGCCAGAATAGATGAGCTTTGAGCAACCTGGTCTAGCGTAGGTGTCCCTGCCCATGATAGAGGAGTTGAAACTGGCTGATCTTTAAGGATCTCTTCAGACCCAAACCATTCTATGATATGATAAGGCTAGAAGAGACCTGAAGAGGTTTTCAGTTCAATCTCTTGCCCAATGTTGGAAGTTGGCTAGTTTTTAGGATGTGCCTTGAAAAAAATAAAAAACACTGGACAGCCTTAATGAAAAAAGGGGGGAAAACTTACAGACTATAAAAATATTAAGTGCATTCCACAGCATTTTTTTAAACTTCACAATTTATTATCTTTATGCAATCTGAAATGCTTGAGTTACTCTTTAGATGAGACTAACACACTTCCAATGTCTCAGTCTGGACCTTACCTGGAATTTTTTTTGTATTTTTTTTCTACTTCGGAATCCTCAGGCTGCAAAACTCCTTAAGAATTTTTCTAACAAAAGCATCAGTTTAAATGAGTTTTCCAGTTCTGACAAAAAGTCTGAAGCTGTTGAAAAGAAACATTCTCTTACATTATTACTTTATTTCTCTCAATGTTTCAGCTGTTAGACTGGCATGGAAAATTTTATTTTAATGGAATGAATGAATCAGACCAAAATGCAATGCCTGAGTTCCTGGAAAATGGGAAAACCTCAAACATAAGCAAAGGTTATGCTGCTCTTGGGCAGCAGCATACTGCTCGCTCACATAACAGCCTGGAGACACTACAGACAGTTCACTGGGCTTTAAAGGAACAGAAATTTGAGCTTAGAAAACTGGCAATACAGTAAATAAAAAGGTGGCTTTATGTGCTTAGGGAAGCACTATGGGTTAGTAAAATCCACCACTTGTGGAATCCTCCCTCTGCAGCAGCAGCAGCTACCCTGTCATAGGGTAAGATTGGCTCATGGACAAGAGCTGGGAATGTTAAGGTTCACAAACTGCACAGACATCTGCAAGTGGCAGGTGCTTGTGAAGGAAGAGTAGAATGCAGTCCAGTCTCAGCTTTCCAGAAAAATAAGAAGAGTGATTCAAGTATTCCTTAATCAGCAAAAATGCATTAATGAGGTTTTAGAAAGAACATTCAACATAAGCTCACTTGAAAGCAGTCATTTGTGGGATTTTTTTATCTACATAAATAAAGGAGGCAATAGCGCATACAGCCAGGATAAATGCAGGCAAATGAGATTTACCTAACATCTGGACACTTTAACAGTTTCACATTACTATAAAACTACAAACAACAAGCAGGTAAGTCTACTCACTTTTTTAGGACATTTGGATATCGTAAATGCTTCATAAATACATTGGTTTCTGAGAAAGAACAAACTAGCATTCCTAACTCCATTTTGCCCCTTTCTGATATGTTTAGGTTAAATACATTCTTGTTTTATTCAATCCAGTATCACCTGCAGTAATTAGAAAGTTTTCCAAGTTCTCACTGAATATCTTATATCATCTCTGTGTTTGCAGTCACCCCAAAAAAATAGTGTATGGCCATAAATATTTAGAATTTTTAAATTATTTTTGTATAGATGACATATTTCACTCTGACACTTTCATGAGCACAGGAGGAAATTTTTACCAGTTCTCAGTGAATGGCATTTAGAAAATAAGAACTTAATTCAGAAGAATAAGTAACTGCAAACACTAACTTGTGCTCAGTCCAGTCTCTAAGTGGCTGTGCATCTCTAAAAATTTTGGTGCATTAGAGCCTAAAAAGCTCAGGACAGCAATACTAGGTTCTAAGGCTGAAAAGAGCTGAGCTGTTTTCACCATCCAACTGCAGTGGCTTTTATGGCACAACCTTAATCTCCCCAGAAGACAACAAAGTAATGAAACGAGCTACTAACAACAACCTTTATTTATGGGGACATTTCATCAGAAAGTTGTCAAAAAAAGCTTTTGCATGGAAGCTACCATAGACCTTTGCATGATTTTTTTTTCTTATAACATTCTGACAAACTTAGAAACATAATTTACCTCCTGCTATGTCAGAAAGTATGACCAACCTGTAGTCACAATGATATGGGTGGATGAATCATTCGAAAAGGTAGCCAGATTAGAAAGATATCAGTAAATTTGGATAGGTACCTTGACATTTCTGCTTCAATGTATAGAGGACTATTTATGCATACATACATAGTGATGTCTACTGCAGTTCCACTAAAGGTTCCTTCCAAGAACACCATAATTCTTTCACCCTGATAATGAATTTAGCCTCATAATGATTACTCCAGGCAGTTTGGAAGGTCTTATTTTCACATCTCTATGGGGAGGATAATTATAATACAGCAGCATGGCTAAAACTGGAAAGTGACCTACCTGCTAACAATGGCTTTGGCTGCTGGGGCTTCTGAACAAGGGCCAAAAGCGCCTCGCAACAGCACTTGGAGACAAACTTTCAACCCACGGTAGCTCGAATTCAGAGAAAGGCAAGTTTTTACACTTCCTCTGTCCTTTTAGCTCTTTAACTCTTTTTAGCTTTTCCAGCCATATTTTCCTATTTTAACTGGGTTTTGTCTTCCCTGGTGTCCCCCCTGCAGCAAACAGCTAAAACCGCATGATGAAAGACGAGACAACCATTGACACCACAAAAGAATTTTGAAAGATTCAACGCTGAGGACCGTCAAAAGAGTAAAATAAATCAAGAGTTACGAATCCCTCTCCGAGGCAGGTCGCTGTCTATACGCAAGTGCCACGGTCCTGACTCCCGAAGCGGAGCCGTCCCGTAGCACTGCTGCCCCGGGCATCCCGAGGGCAGTCACCCTCTTCCAAAACCACCGAGAGGCTTCTGAGGTCCCGCCACGGGCTCGTCTCCCATCTCCCGAAGCCTGGAGACGGGCGAAACACCTGCGCCAGCCGCACAGCTCCCCCGCTCCCACCGGCGCGGTGAGACCCAGCTCCGCCCGCCCGGCCCCGGCTCTTACCAGGGAGAGCACTTTGTAGGTGTTGGGATCCTTGCTCTTGCCGCCCGGAGGCTTCTCCGGCTCCTCGGCCACCTCCATGGCCGGCAGCATGGGCACAGCCGCAGTCTGCAGCCCGCCATCAGCCGCCCCTACCCCGTCTAGGTGGTCCTCATGGCCCTTCCCCGCTTGCTGCCCGTTCCCCTGCATGGTCCCGCGGCTCTGCCCTCCGCCCGCCCGGACACGGCTATTAATAGCCCGGCGGCCCGGTCCCGCCCCGCCCGGAACGCGGACACCGGCGGCCCCCGCTCCCCCACCGGCAGCGGCGTGGAGGAGGGAGCGGGATGTTCCCGTCCTTCCCTCGGGATGTTCCCGCCTCGCTCGGTCACCCCCGCTCGGCCGCCCCTCGCTTTCCGAACCCCCCCTGCAGGTAAAGGGCGGGCGCGGCCGCCCTCCCTGCGGGCAGGGAGGCGGTGCGGGGCCGGAGGACACGGCGCTGCTCCGAAATAGCGTCCGGGGGAGGGCGCCGGGCCGTGTTTACGAGGGAGCGCGGAGAAAGTTTCCGCTGCCCGGTCCCCGGGCGGAGGCGGTGGCGCGGCTTTCCCCGAAGCCGCCCGGCGGCGGTGGCACAGGTGTGCGCGGGGGCGGGGGTCCCGCTCCCGGTGCCGCTCCCGGTGCTGCCAGAGGCAGGCAGCCGGCCCCCGGTGCGCGTTTGCACTCACAGCGCCGCCGGCTGCTGGTCGCCCTCGCAAGGTGCTTCCCTCCGTCCCTGCCTGCAGTTCTTCGCCCCTTCCCGAAGAGGTTTTCCCCTCCCGTCCGTCAGTGCCTGCGGGATGCCCACGGAAACCCCCGCAACGCGGGGCATCAGGCCAGCCGAGAGCCCGCACACCGGGGACGCAGCGCAGCAGGCGGTGTCATCGCCCGCCCGGGGGACACTGCGACTCCTTTAGGGTGATTTGGTCTGTTCAGCCGGGAGAAGAGGGGACTGAGGGGAGACAGCATCCCAGTTTACAACTTCCTCGTGCGGGGAAGAAGAGAGGCAGGCACTGATCTCTGTGATGACCAGCGACAGGACTCGAGGAAATGGCCTAAAGTTATATCAGGAGACGTTTAGGTTGGTTATTAGGAAAAGGTTCTTCATGCAGGGGGTGGTTGGGCACTGGAACAGGTTCCCCAGGGAAGTGGTCACAGCACCAAGCCTGACAGAGCTCGAGAAGTACTTGGACAATGCCCTCAGGCGCTCGGTGTGACTGTTGAGGATGGTCCTGTGCCAGGTCAGGAGTTGGACTTGATAATCCTTGTGGGTCCCTTCCGGCTCAGCATATTTTCTGATTCTGAGATTTTGGACTCATTGCCCTCAAGCCAGGCCCTGCTCAGAGGGCTGGTGTTGTTGGGGTGAAATCCATGCTTGATGCCCTTCAGAGCCTTTTATTGGGACTGGCACCATCTGGCTCCAAGATGCCACTTCCCAATCATTCCCACTAAATTCAGCCCTGCTTGTTTGGCATGAGAGAGGTGTTTGTACACACCCTGACTGTCCATGGGGAAAAGCAGTTCACTCCAGGTATGTAGGTAAAACACCAACTGCAGGGCTGACTCCAGATGTGGGTCATTCCTCCTTTCTGTATTAGATCACTGAGGGTTGAGTACCATCAAGACTTGCAAAGTATGCCTAAGCTTAAAATCACTAAAAGTTAATTTAGATTCATTCTCCATAATTTTTTAGGTTTTTTTCTTTATACAGTTATGTATGTTGACATTGGGCTTAGTCTTTCAGTTTTAATGGGGGGTGGGTTTGATTTCCTAGGGCTTCAGGAGTCTATATCAGATTTATTTTAACTGTCAATGTACTCAGAAAGGAGTGGCCCTTGCATAGTTTCCAACAAAAATCCATATTTTCTAAAAAATAGCTACACTGAAATGAAAATTTCCTTTGGAAGTGATCTTGATCCCTGTTGAAATGTTGTTGCTCTGCTTTCTATTTCAGTTGAGTCGCAAGAACAAGCTGTCAGTACAACTTCCCATTAAAAATAATTGCCAGGATGCAGCATGTACATTACTGCTGGTCTGTAGTGCTGCTGCTGCAGCTCACAGCATGCTGAGGGTCACCGAGGGCTGCTCCCACATGCCTGTTGTCATCTAATGAGGTACCATAGGTGCAGTCTTGAGAATTTCTACCCTAATGTTTCACTTGGTCACATAGGAAAGAGAAAGGCAACAGAAACTGTGATAACTAAGCCCTTGAGCCTACATTAAAAATCTCATTTATTCCATTAATGTGGCATTTCAAACAGCTGTCCAGCTGAGGAGATGACTTTTTTATATGGTCAAGGCTTTTGGCATGTGAAAGTTGCAAATTGAATACTGGTTGTGCAATAATTTTAAAACTCTCATAAAAACTGACATAGTCAAATTGTTTAGGTTTCGGGTTTTTTCAGTGAATGTGGGTTTAATAATTAGCTCAAGTGGCAGTAGGACCCTCACTTTTTTTTTTTTAATAAAAATGAAAAGATATTGCAATCATGTGTGCAAGTTCAAATCTTTTCTTTTTCATTTCCAGTCACACTGGCAAGAAAGTAAATGCTTTTTCTCGACAAACAACAAAAAAAAGAGACATTAAAAGTTCACAGTGTTTTTTTATAAATTAAGTTTCATTTTTTATTTCCTTGTTTTTGCATGTAGAAAGATTTTTTAATTGTAATTCAAATAGAAATCTTTCTTGTCCAAAGTGTCACCCACTCAAAAATTTGAATAGCACATATTGTATAATGATGATTCAATGACAATTATGTATAACTACATTGCAGACAAAAAGGTATCTTTCTTTTCCATAGAAAGAAAGGATATTCTGCAACTGGAGCTAACTTCTGAGTTGTTCATTCATTGACCATTAACTATTCTTTAACTTACTCTTCTGTGTACAAATATTCATAAAACAGCATAAATTTTGTAAATTTCTTTCTGTGATGGTACAAGTAGTCAAGGTACTTCAGTCTAGGCATGGAAAATAATTAACCAGCATGGAAAATAATTAACCTAACTGTGAGAAGTAAGCTCGTTTCAGCTGACTGACAAGATGTCAAAGTGCTCTAGACAAGCAAATCTGGAAAACCAAAAAGGACTAAGTTTTGGCACTGAATATTTGAAATATATCTGAATAAATCTATTGACTACTGGGGGAAGAGGTAAAATATTCCCAATATTAAACCTTCAAAAATCCACATCTGCTTGGTCTCTTTGGGGTGAAGTTGTTAAATAGCAGTCAATACCATTTTAATAAATCTGTGACAAAAGACATCATTGTGCAACAAATTAATAGCAGAGATTACTGAGGTTGCAAATCCAAATTCCAAAAATTGTCTGCAGCCATTTCAACAGAGACTGAGGAAGCTTTTGAGGAAGTGAGGGCAGCTGCCAGCTCCAGCAGTAACTGAATCAAGCTGCCCAACCAAATGTCAAGGGAGAATAGCAGTAACACCAGCTTCATGTTTGCAGGCCTAATCTGTGAAGGGAGTCATCAGAGATTATCAATTTTAATTTGCTCTTCAGCTTTTAGTGGCTGCAGCAAAGATAAACAAACATAAATAATGTAGTAGGAGAAAAAGGTAAACGCGGGAAGTTTTCCATGCAGCTGCATGTCACAGCTTGTGATGTTTTCTCCTTGCATTTTTCACCTCGACAAAGTCTCCACCAAACGTCTGTTTTTGGAAAGACCTGAGCAAACACCAAGTTCTCTCATCTAGCCCCTGTGTGTGAGGTGGCTGTGGCCCATTTAGGAGCTGTGGTTAGTGACAGGGCTGCTAACTTGCACCATGTTGCATGATTGGACTATCCATTTGCACCAGCCAGAGTTTGGAGGCCCTTGCTGCTCTCATAGCTGGGGCACAGACTGAGTTTGCAGGCAGAGGAGCATCATCTTGTGAGGTTGCCAGTGATAATCAGCTCCTGGCTGGCTGAGTCTTGACCCTTGCATTGCAATAAAAACCAGTGGTTGGTGGTTGTGGCAAGTATTTCCTGTTGCATTGCCTCTAATCCGCAGCAAAATTCCTGTAACCATGAAGAAGACCAGGAGCCCTAGGAAAGTCTGAAGCTGCTTGTTCATGACCATTGCTGCTCAGTCTTACACTGGACTCTACCTTATAGGAGCTAATTGAAGCTGTTTCTCAGCCCCTGCTCTGAGGACTTCTCTTGTTGTGTGAGTGTTGCATTGTAAACTAGTCTGGAAATTATTGAAAAATTAGCAGTTACGGTAGTTTCTGAAATATCCTTATGGGTAGTTTTATTTAGCATTCGAAATGTGTCTAAAACTTTATAAAAATGCAAGAAGTCCTTAGTGAAAGGAACAAATGAAACTGGAGGTATATCTCCAAACTCTTATTACCTCTGGGAGTAATGCCTAAGGTGAAGTCAGAAATCCCATAGCATTTATGGGCATATGAAACTGTGTGGACTGAACAGTTTGTGTCTAGGGATGGCACATAACCAAGCAGAGATCCAAGACACAAAGGCAAACTAGAGTTTCAAGGCACATGTTGCAAGTCTCAGATTCTGAACTTAGCATCAAGATGCCTGTTTGTCAGGAAAAATTAATTCATTCTTTATAACTACTTGCTTCAAAATCTGTTAATTTTACTCCCCAGCATGCCCCTTTTAATAAGTGCAGAAAGAAAATAATTTTTGCAAATAATTACTAATTCTTTGGTTGCTTTGCTGGTCTCAAAAAAAAAATCTCTAGATAACAAGCTGATAACTTAATATTTCCTGTATAATTGAAAAATGGCATAATTGTTCCTCCTTTCAGTCTTAGTTTGGCATATATTACTGGAAATTTAATACCTGTTAACACAACGGTTGTTTGATAGCTGGCAACAGTAGAAGAAAAATATGAAAAGTCCTTTAGCAATAGGAAATAATTGCTTCACAGTGATTTCCTGTCTCTCTAAGCTATATAAAAATGCCTCTATTTGATTTTAGAAAAAATGCCTATACTCCTTTAAACTATAAAATCCTGATATGATGACAACATATTGGCAGGATTTGTTGGGAAGCAGACTATAAGATGCTTGCATACTTTAATGCTAACCAAGCAGACATTCTTTATG